CTCAGTATACCTACTTTTCTGTTATCTCTGTACCTTCCCTCTGACCAATTTAACCTGACCTAACCTAACTTCACCTAACTGCCTCCCAAAATCAGTTTCTGCTTTTGTTGGGTTTCTGCTGGAACTGATTTTGGGAGGCAGTTAGGTAAAATTAGGTTATGTCAGGTTATGTTAATTAAAATATATTTGTGAGTAACATAACCTGATGTAACCTAACTTTACCTAATTGCCTCCCAAAATCAGTTTCAGCAGAATGCGGAAAAATAAAATTCACAGTTTCTGATAGGTTGTTGTGATTATGAACTTGTTCTAAAGATTTTTCTGGATGGCTCAGTGCAGTCTAGGATTGAGGTACTGAGATACCAGGAAAGTACCAAAAATTCTTACCCAACATCTGGACAATAGCTTGAAATTCCCAAAATTTCTGGAAACATTTTCATATTAATTTTTTAAATTGTATTTGTTGAAGAAATTGAGTTATTTACAGTTGTAGATACTCAAAATGCAGGTTACCTCAAAATTACCCAAATTTGTAATCATAAACAAGCTATAATTTTGTGCTTCTCTAATAAAAGTTATTTGATCAAGTGTGCATGCTCAGGGAAGTATAAAAACCTGTTCTTGTTCTTTGCTTCTTGAGCTTATTGTGATGTCAAAAGATCACATTCTGTGTGGTTATTTCTGCTGGACACTCATTTTCTGTACCTATTTCAGTTGATAAAAAAAGACTTCTTTTTCAATTTTGGTGAGAATTATTCCCAATTTTTGATCTACAGGAGAATCAATTGGAAGTATTTCCAACTCATATGATGGGTAAACAAAGTCTGACGCACTGCAATTACGTCTGCGTCTCTATAATACGCGCACTAACAAATTCTAGGAAATCATCTTAATTGGTGAACACACTATACACATACCTTCACGTAGGGGTTTAAATATGGATTGTAATGAAAGGCAATCCCTGTGTCATTTGAGGCTTCGTCTTTCGATGTCATCTTTTCGACCTCGTCGCAATACCCCGTGCAATTCAATGGGAGATTGAAGAACTTTGCCAGGACCGAGGCCTTTATGCGAATGGTCGAGTCTCCCATCAGGAAGAACTTGTTGTTGAGCTTGTTTGCCGATCTGCGCTTGAGACACGATTCCGAATCCATTTGCGGGAAAATCTTGAGTTTGCAGTGTGGCAATTCCCACTTGAAATCACTTTTCACCGTGCCGTTGCTTTGAAACACACCCAGGCATTTTTCGGTTTCCTCGTCGACTCGGTTATTATTGCGATATTCCAAGATTCTCCAGGNAAAAATGAAAATGTTTTGATTTTTTGGGAAAAGTTTGAAAAGTTTCCCTAACTCCTGCCAATGTCTGCATGGATATTGTGCCTGACTTTTTTGGTTTTCTCCTAAGTCAAATTGTCTGTATGTTGAGGTGCCTGCTTACTGGGGTTTTACTGCACTATGGTCTCGACAAAAGTTCATGCAATTATTCAAAAGATGTCATACAATTGAGCTGAAAAAATTTTATTCTTTATGGAAAACATATTCTTTGGCACAAAAAAAGTCAGTCCTGTTTGACAATTTGTTTAATGTTCTGAAAAATTCACCCTAGCAAGAGATAACAGGGAAGTACTGAATTAAGGACCAGTGTCCCCAAGTCAAATTGTCTGTATGTTGGGGTCTCTGCATGTCTGAGGACAATTCAACATAGCTGCATTTATTTTTCAATAAAAATAAAATAAGCCTATAATAAATAATCAGGCTAATAATAATAATATTTATAGGCTAATAAATAAATTAGCCGCCTTCACAGCCTCCAAAGTAGCGGCTGTGGATGAAAATTGCAGAATTGCCTTGGAAGACCTGGAGGCAACCATTATAGAAAGAATGCCACATTGATTTCAAAATTTTTGAGGGGAAAGCTGAGCAACAACAACAAAATCTGCAGGAAGGGCGCCTCATCTTTTGAATGGAGAGCAAAACTCTGCTAGGGTGAATTTTTCAGAACATTAAACAAATTGTCAAACAGGACTGACTTTTTTTGTGCCAAAGAATATGTTTTCCATAAAGAATAAAATTTTTTCAGCTCAATTGTATGACATCTTTTGAATAATTGCATGAACTTTTGTCGAGACCATAGTGCAGTAAAACCCCAGTAAGCAGGCACCTCAACATACAGACAATTTGACTTAGGAGAAAACCAAAAAAGTCAGGCACAATATCCATGCAGACATTGGCAGGAGTTAGGGAAACTTTTCAAACTTTTCCCAAAAAATCAAAACATTTTCATTTTTTAAATTTTGATATTGTTTGAAGAAATCGAGCTATTCGTATTCAAACAAATTTAAAAAATATATTTCATAATCATTACACTGAGATTCATTCATCAAAAGCAAGCTGATTTTGTGCTTCTTTTTCTTTGCCAATTGATTTCCCTTTGATACAAAAAGCTCAGATTCTATGTGGTTTTGTTCTGTAATGTTGTTTTCTACAACTAGAAGTTCAGAGAACATTCTTTTATGATATATTTTTTAGACTTATTTCTAATTTTTAACAAAAAGGAGAACCAATTTAATAAAGCATTGAAGTCTTGAGAAATTGAGGGATAGTTTGTTTCAAAGGACCGACTATGTCTGCATCTTGTGGTCTCACTGTATATATAAATATACAGTATTTATACTGTTCATAAAAAATACAGTGAAGTTGGATCTTGGCTTACATTACTTACAAACTTAATTAGTTCCTGAACAAAGTTGGTAAGCCAAATCACTTTTACCTTAAGAAGGTATAGGAATAATGTTAATTGGTTCCAGAATCTTTAAAATGGCCAAGAAATTAAAGAAAATTCATCTTGAAAAATTAGTATCAGGCCTAAACTCCATTAAATCTTCCCAAGACAATATACAAGGAACTCACAGCAGTAAAACAACCCATAGAAGTGAAATTTTCAAGTGAGTTTCCCCAGAGGTTTCAGCTTGAAAATTTTAATTGCATTATTACCACAAACTTATTCACAGACCATCAAGGACTATAAGATGGACAATTTTAAAGCTAAAATGAAAAATTAATCATGTATTGCATTCATGGGCTGCATTTCAAACAGAGTCAAAAAGGAAAAAGAATTGCAACAGGCTTCAATAATTAAAAAAAACGATTACCTAACCACAAAATTCTTCTTGGCAAGAAAAACCAGTATAAAATAAGAGAAACTTTCAAGAGCTGATACTTTAATTTGAAACCAGCATGCCTAAGTGACTTTGAATATAACACAAATAAGCAGAGAACACAGCAGGTTCAACATTCAACACTTTTCAATTTAAGTTCAATTGAATGGCAACAACAATTCAAATTTCCAATCAATTTTCATGACCTTTTCACACAGCACCAGAAAACAGCGTCTATCCTTCCACAATTTGTTGGCAAAGTATCATGCAAAGTGTGTGCCATTTTTTGGTAAATCTCTTGGAAATTTGGCTGAAATTTTCATTTGAATCACACACAGAAAAGCTTTGCATTATGCAATATTTAATCCATTCCACATTTTGATGAACATCTATAGCTCATAAAATATCTCTTCCAAAAAGTTGTTCACAATTTATTCATTGAATAGGATAAAGCAACAAGTTCAAAGTTGAAGCATAAACCAATTATAATTTCTGTAAAAATCAGATAAATTCTAAGATATGAGAAAGTGAGTAGAAAATGGGAATCTTCTCTATATAGTTCTTTCAGTCCATAATTCAGTATGAGAAAAGTATGTTATTTGGTGGCAAATTATGAGTTAAAATAAAGTCTTGGACTTACATCTTAGTCATTTGCAATTCACTTTGTACAATATTTGATCACTACAAAGCAGAATTGAATTAAAATTCAGCACATTTTTGCTCAAAGATAATCTTACAATTCAGACACATTACTCTACAGTACACTTTTTGACATTCTATTGCATATTCATCATTGTTGAAAAGGCAAAATGTTTCACTTTTAACCCAATCATAGAATTTTTTTTTAGACCCATGAGCATTTGGAGAACTTGAAGCTTGTAAGCCAAGTCATGGTTTGTTAGCCAGAGCAGCTGAGGCAAGAAAGAAAAGTTTGTTAGCTGAAAATTTTGTAGTTTGCAGTGTGGCAATTCCCACTTGAAATCACTTTTCACCGTGCCGTTGCTTTGAAACACACCCAGGCATTTTTCGGTTTCCTCGTCGACTCGGTTATTATTGCGATATTCCAAGATTCTCCAGGAATAAGTTGTAAAATATGCGAATGACACTAGTATCGTGATGCCCAGCAATGACACCATCAGCACTTTCCTTCTTTCCATTATTTTCAACATATTCATTGTTTTCGAATACCTTGAGAATATTTTTGTTTTTCAATCCTGATAAATTCTGTGTGGATGTGCTGTAAAAACCCTGGAGCTTAAACTTTCTTTTTCGGCAGTGGACTTGAGTGTCCCTCTGTTTCCCAATGTGCGGGTGTTTTGGACGGAGATGGGATCACTGTGAGATTTGCTTCACTCCTGTACCTTATTTTCATCACCAGCAAGGGACTGTAAAATACCTATATGTTATTCACTGATGTAAAACGGGATTTTCTATAATGTATACTTTTTTTGGTGGCCTGTTGGTGCCAAGAACGCTTGTTAATTAAAGGGGTTATTTTTCACAATCCGAAAGTTAAAATTATCCCACACTGTCAATTCCACGCACAAGAAATCACCCTGGAATGAAACACCATTTGTGCAAAATTCAGGTAAAAGAAACATACTGTGATGCTTCTCCAGCTGTTCAGAACCACAATTAAGAGAGAAAAATCATGGAGGCGGGATATGTTTCTTCTCATTGTGAGCTGCTGTATATATAGGAACTGGTTTCCTCCTCTACATAGTTGCTTTACTCAATGACAAAATGACACGATGCACAATTGACGCAGTGAGATACACAGAAGGGAATGTAATGCGAGGGTGCTGTCAACTGATGTGGCATTTTAGAATGCTCACTGAAATTGAAGGAAAACACAAGGGCATCAGTGATGGAGGGGGAGAGTTCATTGATGCTTGAAGGGCGTGTGCTGGTGCATTGGAGTAGTGCTTCTCCGGAAAGTTCTCTCATTTTTCTTTTTTGTTTGTGTATACTCATTTCACTGTTGTTCTGTAACCATTCACAGTGGACCTGAGTCTATAGTTAATGCAGTTCTGTTTATCCTTGATGATTTGTCATCTGTTCAGATGATGCACAAGTTATTGTGCGCCCAAGTGGGGAAAATGGTGCACAGGTGGGATATGCATGTACAGTCAAACCTCGTTAAACCGCCACCCTCACCTCCCGCCAAAATTTTACCCCAAACAAATCTCCCCAATGTTGAAAGGATGGGGCACCCTCCATAGGCCGCCATCCGCCAACAATTTGCTGGCCACAAAACACCACCTGCCTTTGTTTTTTACCCCGTTAAACCGCCAATTCTTAAAATTTCCTGACCAAGGCTTTCCTTCTACTTTTTCTTCAAATTCTTTCACTCTGTACTTTTTCTTGAAACAAGCAGCATTTTTCCTTCTTCCAAACATACTCTTCAGAGTTTAATTTTTTATCCATAAATCCTTGAATGTTATGGTCTGCAAGCACTCTTCAGAAACTCTTCTTACTCTCCAAATGATGTGCAGCTTTTTTTTAAATATCAAATTGTATTCAGATTGGCTGCAAAACATAATT